TTCTTCTTCTTTTAATCACCCCCTCCTTTTTTATTATTAATACTACTGGTGCTACTACTTTGGCTACTACTGCTGCTGCTGCTACTACTACTTCTGCTGCTGCTGCAGCAACAACTACAACTGCTTCCACTACTAAAATTACTGGAGTTTTTTTCACAACATAATAATTAGTATTACTATTATCCTACTTCTAGAATAATTACTACTATTACTATTACATCCCTTGTTATTTTTGCTGCTGCTATTTAACTAATATAATTTTAACCACTACAATTACTGCTACTACAACCACTACTACTGCTACACATTTTCAGCTGCTAAACTGGTACTGCTGCTGCTACTACTACCTCCTCCTCCTACTATTACTACTTCTACTAACAAAAATAATTATGCTGTTACTATAGTATAATTACAACTTTTGCGATTACTACCAATATAATGCCATAAACCACTACTTCAGATGCTTTTAGTTACTGCTACTACTACTGTTACTTCTACTGCTGCTACTTCTGCTTTTACTACTACTGTTACTACTACTGGTATTACTACTAATATTGCTGCTGCTGAGCCACTGCAACTACTACTACTTCTATTATAACAACATCTGCCGCAACCATTGGTATAACTACTGTTCCTATTATTACAGCTACTGCCATTAAGAAGAACTATTATCTTCACTATATTGTGACAGAGCAATAATGTTTAAAATTGGAATGATGGCTCACGTATGTTTAAACGCTTGTTTGTGTTCACACCCGCCACTTTTGTTATCACACATCAACAGTCACTGGCAAATCATCTTCTGTCATTAGTCATGTACCGTCACCACAGTCACGGTGGGCTTCAACTGATCTCAAGCATTCTTTCTCTCCTTCTCGATCTGGGTTTACATCCTCTAGCTAAGAGAGATTGCTCTTTCTCCATCTTTTGATTTTAGGGACTTTATTAATATCCTACCCCAAAGAGGGGAAATCCACAGGTTACGGGACATTCTAATATTTTAAGGGGTAGTAGATAGGCGGCACTCTGTCGTGGAACCTAGGCTGCACTCTCTCGAGGGACGTAGGTGGGTTGGGTTTGGGCCAGTTCTAGATGTTTTGGGGTCGTTAAAAGCATCAGAAAGCCGAGAAACCCACTCTTACCACCCTCTAAAATGTTGGACTTGCCTGTGACGTTATCTGGGGGTATGATATTAAAAAGAAACTGATTTTGTCCTCCGATATATAACGCTGGCAGCCTCTTGATAGTATGCTTCAAATTTGCCCTCATTTCCAACTGTCATCATCATCATCATCATCATCATCATCATCATCATCATCATCATCATCATCATCGTTTTCATTGTGGAGCGGTATTGCGACTGTATAAGCTTAGTTAGAACTTGTCTAGGAGCATCGAAACATCAAATGCTTAACGTAAGTAGAAGGAAATGTTGTGGGCAGTAAAGTCTGTCCGCGTGATATTGGTCACAAAACAGTAAAAAAATCGAGGGGGTGGGGGCGGGCCTTCCACCCAATACGATGGATTGAAATGAGCTGTTTACTACGCAGGTGTATAGATAGATATTGGTTAGTTTGTGAAGAAAAGAACGACATCACAACATTCAGGGTTAGTCCCTTAAATGATCCGTCCACAATTACAGCAGCCCTTTCTTTTTAGTGTAGAGCAAATATCATTAGTACAGTACAGTTAGCATGTGATCCGCGGGCCACTTGCTAGGCCTCTGCGAGCCAGATTTTGTCTGCGGGCCGCCAGTTGAACTTCACTGGTGTAGAGTGTCGGGCAGATTTCATAGTTCAGCCCTAGATGTACCATTCTTTTCAGACCGTAATGATTATTCACTCGCTCCCGAAGAGCCTTGGTCCCATTTAGCTCTCATGCATCAGTTTACCAGCAATTATGCACAACCAGCCAGTGTTTCTATCTGTTTATTTCCCAGCTCACATGTATGCCCCAGAAGAAAAAGAAAAAAAGATCCAAAGGACAGAAAAGAGTAACAAGGTAAATAATAAATCACATGCAAGGAAGAAATATACAAATTGTTTGGTGATTCTAAAACTTTCGACTGCTAAAATATCACACTCAATGAACACATAACTACCTTCAATACTTTTAATGTTTATCATAACAAAGATTTTGTGTGGAACATAGTTATACTCTAAATAAGCAGCGAGATACGCCTGTGACAGTGGGAAAACTTGCAAACTTAAACAATTAAGTCTACAACAGTCAGTAACAATTAGCTAAGGTGCTTCATCTTTTTCTTCTATTGCCCTCCATCTCCAAGTGGAGCATAGGCCCTCAAGCATCAACTCACGCCAAATCATTCAGTCTTTCACTATTAGCTCACCCCGTGTCATCCTCATCTTATTAACTTCACTCTCTTGTCGGCGTCTGTGGCTTACGCCTTGCGAACGCGCTTCGCAATGCCGGGTTCCAGGTTCGATCCTAGCTACGGACGGTTGTCTTATCTTGGTTTTGATAGTGGTATTAAGAGCTGACTGTTGTAAGCAATGGCAAACTAGTGAACGCAAAATTTTCCTAGGAAAAAAAAAGGTCATCTAAAGGATAGGCAATTCACTTTAACTCTAGTTTCCTTTTCCGCCTGTTCTTTTGGTCTGCCTTTTTTTCTGTCTCTGCGAGCTCTAACGCAAAGACTTATAATTACATTGTTTTTAGGTTTGCTCAACGTGTGTCCTATCCAACGCCAGCGTCTTCACCTCTTGGTCCACTGGAACTTGTTTAGTTCTTTCCAGAAACTCGGCATTAGTGATTCTTTCATACAATTTAATTCTCTCTATTCTGCTAAGTCACCAATTAATGAGCGTTTGTAGTTTATTAGTAATTGCCTTAGTTGTTCTCTATGTTTCCATACAACAGTACTGGTTTCACATTAGAATTAACCATGTTAAGTTTAGTATCAGGTTTAATTTCTTTTGACCTCCGCAAATGTCCTAGTGTTATTGAATGTCCTCCTGTTTCTGGTATTTAAATGTCAATATCTCTATTAGTTCCCCCATCTCTGTCTACATTACTCGCCCAGTAAGTGTATGGCCTCAGATCTGGTGCTTTATTAATATCCTACCCCTAAAAAGGGAAATCCACAGGTCATAGGACAGTATAATATTTCAGTGGATGGTAGACAAGCTCCATGAGGTCGTTTGACCTAGGCTGCACGCAGTCGTAGGACCAAAGCTGTACTCTCTCATGGGACTTAGGTGGGTTGGGTTAGGGCCAGTTCTAAATGTTGTGGGGTCTTTAAAAGCATCAGAAAGCCGGGAAACCCAGTCTTACCGCCCTCTAAAACGTTGGACTGTTCTGTGGCGTCATCTAGGGGTGGGATATTAATAAAGAACCGCAGATCTTGTTACAGCTTGCTGACCACCCTTATTTCTCAGCAAAGCCACTAACATAAACATGCATTAAAATCGTAAGACAACGAGAAGAAGTGCCAACAAACAGTCTACGACTAGCATTGCAGTTCATCGACAACGGAAGTAGCAGTTACAATTAGGGCTGTACTGAATATTCGCTTCGTATTCGCTTCGGGACCGAATAGTGGACCTATTGACTATTCGGTATTCGGCCGAATAGTTGCGGTCGGGCCGAATACGAGTAGTAGTTACTTTACACCCGCTTCTGCATACACGGCATAATGCTGACAACATAGAACGATTGGTTTTGTTGAAAGCTAATGCAGCTTTCATGCATTAACTAAGCTGTCAGTGACAATTTCCAAGTTTAGTTACTTGTTATAATACTTAGGATTCTTTCATTCCTAGTTTTTAGTTACTACAGACTGACTGAAGGATGCAAAACATAAAATGATTTTAAATGTTTACTATTCAGTACTAACTAGACATGAAAGAAAATAAACTCCGGCCACATCCAAGTCGATAGTATGAAAATCAAACGAACGGAAACATATAAGTACTTGGGTGCAAACTTCAACTGCTCCAACATGCTGAGAGAAGAAATACAACATATAACATCTGCTAAAGTCAAAGTGTCTGTCTCGCAACACGAAGATCAAAATAAATAAAACGTTGATAAGACCAGTGGTTTTAGATGGTTCTGAAACTTGAAGCAGAAATAAAAGAGATGAGGCCTTATTACAGGTTTTCAAAAACAGTTTTACGACAAATCTTTGGACCCATCAAAGATGCTAGCAGCGGGGAATTGAGAGTGAGAAGCAACAACTAAACACATAATCTGTTTAAATCACCATTGATCACTGGCATCATGAGAGCTAACAGACTAAAATGGTTGGGGCATTTTCTGTGGCAAAGGAATGTGTCACAGTTGCGTATACAGTTTTTACTTCTCTGTCTTTTGATATTCTTTCAATATACCCCAACCATTTTAGTCTATTAGCTCTCATGATGCCAGTGATCAGTAGTAATTTAAACAGATTATGAATTTCATTACTGCTTCTCACTCTCCATTCCCCGCTGTTTGCATCTTTGATGTGTCCAAAGATTAGTCGTAAGACTCTGTTTTCAAAAACTTGTAACAAGGCTTCATCTCTTCTAGTTGTGATCCAAGTTTTAGAGTCATATAATACGACTGCTTTTATCAACGTTTTATATTTTTTGATTTCAGCGTTCGAGACAGACACTTTTACTTTAGAAGATGTTGAAGGGCATAGTTTACCTTATTTCTAGATTGTATTTCTTCTCTCAGCATGTTGGAGTAGTTGAAGTTTGCAACCCAAGTACTTATATTTTTCATTTCGTTTGATTTTCATATTATCGACTTGTATGTGCCGGAGTTTATATCCTGTCGCTGTCTAGTTATTATCATGTATTCTGTCTTATCTTGATTGATAAATAGTCCCATTTTTTGAGCTAATTCTTTTAAGAGTCAGTGTTTTAACATTCTCCCGTTTTCTTTTTCTCTAACGATATCAATTTCATCTGCATATCCTAATTGCCAGGTAATACTTTAAATGTATTGACGACGCTACTATAAGTACCGATCAGTACTAGTTAAGTTGTTCATCATGCTCCTTCGGTGACCTCACGGATACAACCATGTTGAACAAACTGAATCATCATATCCAGCGTAGACTCCGGCTGATCATGAGGGGTCTGATGTCCAGCTTGGTGGATGACCACCCGGCAAAACTGACCAACTTGGACGTAGAAGCCTTTCAGTTTGTCCCCTAGCTTCCACAGTGTCCTGCCCGAATTATTGTATTCTTTCTGCAACTTCCAGGGGGTGGTCATAAGTGCGGCTTCTACCATCGGAGACGTAATGATACCATCATAATCTCCAGTGTACAGAAGAATTTTATAACGGTTCATCAGAACGGCCATCTTAGCTTTAGTACCAACTAGCAAATCGTCTTTAAACTTATACTTTAAAACTGTGTTACCGACATTGTAGACCAAATTGCAAGTATGAAGCATAGTCTTCATTGATTCTGTTCTCATTAGATCTTCCACTGAATTGTAGTCTGGATACTGCGATGTCACGTAATTGTCCCGACTCCCTGGGACAGTTTTGGAAAAAGCCATTCTAAATAGTTCACTATATTCTAGAGTATGGATATTTCCGGTGCTTACCATGATATCAAGATTAAACACATTTTTTTTACATTTTTGTAATTTTGAGTGAGATATCGCTCCCAGTGAGTAATAATATTCACAGAATTCCGCGCTCTGGATTAAAGGATCGAAATATGGTCCGCCCAGATAGATGCCCGTTAGCGGGATTTTGGATGTTCCTTCCAGAATTCTGGTGTGTATTTGATGAGCGAAGGCGGGAACGTATTTGCCAGCATAGGACTGGCCACCGATGTAGAGCTCTCTAGTGTAGTAGACAGGAAACATCAGATAAAACTGCTCGATAAACAAATACAGCTCTTCGCTGTAGCCATCTTGTGTTGTCTTGGAGCTGTTGGTCTCCGAGTAGCTGAAACCCGTGCCAACGGGGTTGTCAATGTAGAGCATAGAGAAGGGATCAGCCCACGAGACTGGTCGTCTTTCGTAACTAATTGAGCCATTTGTGTGAGTTATCGTTCTTATCGGTCCATTTTCATAAAACAACCCAAACATTGAAGATACAGTTGGACCGCCATTCAGCCAGATCATTAATGGTGCATTGGTATCGTTAGAACTCGGGAAGAACCAAAAAAATAAGTGATTTCTAGCTTTCCTGTCGGTAGTAATAAATCCAGAAAAGCTTTTAGGTACAATTCCTTTAGAATCTGTCACCTTGCTGACCTCCAGAGCTGCAGTTATGTTCCCAGCATCGAGAAAGGGTGTTAGAAGGAGTGGCGATACGCATCTGTCGCAACGACACCAAACGAACAATGTCAATAGACAGAGCAGATGAATACCGTAACTGGACATGCTCCTAAAAGAAAAGGAAGCGAAAAAAAAAAGGATCATACACTCATGCTTTTATAAATTAAACCTTAATCCTAATATTTGAGGGAATGGAATTGTGTAGTTATGGATTCGAACAAGGTTATAGTTAAAGGTATGGGAGGTCTTTGATTCTTGAAACATTTAACGGTTGAAAGAAAAAAAAAAAAAACTTAGTTTTTTAAACCACTTTTTATGTTGGGTTATGTTTTCATAGTCTACGTCACTGCACAGTGAGTGTTCCCATGCGTGTTCAATCCTCCGATAGTCTCTCCTGTTTTGGCCTTGAATACAGCATAGACGTGCTTTACCAAGCTTTACGCACAGGTCATGCAGTCTTTTAAGCATCAAGGATTTTCTTATCCGCCAGCTTAGTCAGAACACTGTTAATGATATAAAGCTCTGTCTAGGCTTCTTCCCATATGCATTGGCGCATCACCTGCCAGCTGGTCGGCACGTTCATTAACTTTGACTCCTGCATACCCAGGGGTGTAAACACAGATAAAAGTTAAAAAAAAAAAAGTAAAGATCCCTTTTCACGCCTTTCGGCGCATCAGGCAAATGGGCAGAGCGTCCCATATTTTTACAGACCATCAGCACTCTGTGGGTAATGTGGTCAGCATTACGCCGGCTGTCTTTACTTTCCCAGGACAGCCTATCCTGGTACCCATTTTAGGCTGGGTCGACCTGCGACGTCCCATACCCAGGACAAAAATCCACACGCTTTCTGCGCATTCAGAGCGTAGACTACCTGTTGCGGTTTTCTGAAGCAGATTCCTGGGGTCTGATACAATGACTGCCAGTGCGGGGTGTAAGTCAAGGAGTCTGAAGTCTGAGGTTTAGTACTGCTTAGCTAGTGCAGTTACTGCGAACTATGCAGGCTTTAGTTTTGTTGTTGTTGTTATTATTGTTGTTGCTGTTGTTGATGTTGCTATTGTTGTTGCTAGTGTTGCTATTATTATCATTATTATTGTTGTTGTTTTTATGGTTGTTTTTGTTGTTATTATTGTTGTCGCTGTTATTGTTGTTGTTGTTTATTGTTGTTGATGTTGTTATTGTTGCTGTTGTTGTTGTTACTGTTGATGTTATTGTTGCTTTTGTCACTGTTTTTGTTGTTGATAAGCAAAAAGTCTATTAACTTTCTGGGTTAAGTTTAAAGATTTAGGATACCTTGGCTAGTGCAGTCACTGCCAACGATACAGCTTAGGATTTTTATCCCTTCCGACAAATAAAAATGTCAAAAAAATGTCCATCCAATTTCCTGGAACTCGACCGCCATTATATGTCACATAGGGTTTATAGTTTATGTCTCTGTTCCGTTGTATGCGTTGCAATCCCTTCGATATCATGAACACAGTCAACTCCAGCACCTTCTGTCTCTCTCCTCAAGCTTTGTTTTAGACTTTCGCTTGGACGCCATCGTTTCCTCAGTTGATTTGTTTACAATTTCCGTGCATGTATCGGTGATGTCTCTGCTCGATTCCTCTCAGGATGTAAACAACAGCTTAACACCTTTTTATTTGTCTTTTGAATCTGCTACACAAGTGGCCGTTAAAAATATTGAATTGTCTGGAAAGCTCTGTAGCTCCAGTGACGTCGCCCGGTCATCTTCAGAAACACAATCCGACTGTCCCTTTAAAAGTACTCATCAAGTTTCCTGCAAGCTGGCGTAGGCTGTCGTGCTTTTATACAACTTGAGATATGAAACTTCTTCTTAAAGTCGTGTGGCATAGGTAGTCATGCCTATGCTCAACCTTCCGTCTCCTATATTTTTAATCAGCTCTGACACACGTGATCCTCCATACCATGATGTCAGACTATCCATCATTTGTTCTTTCGGTCTCCCTCTGCCACTCCTCCCTTCCAGCTTTCCTCCTGTCACGACGTAATCCAGTTTTCTCCTTTTCATCACATAACCAAAGAATATAGATTGTCTCTTTCAGATGTGGGAAATCAGTTCTCTTTGGGAGTCAGTTTCTTTCAAGACGTCTTCGTTATTCTTTTTATCTTTCCAATGTATTCTCGTCGTTCGTTTATAAAACAATAGAAAGCAACATAAAACAATTTTCCGTTTAATCTATTTCAAGCCAAAGAAAGAAAAAGAAGAAGAAAAAGAAGAAGAAGAAGAAGAAGAAGAAGAAGAAGAAGAAGAAGAAGACGAAGACGAAGAAGTAGAAGAAACGTAGTTGTGCAGCTACGTGAAGCGTTGTTGTGCAGTTACGAGAGGCGTAGTTGGGCAGTTACGTGAAGCGTAGTTGGGCAGTTATGTAAAGCGTAGTTGGGCAGTTGCTTAAAGCGTAGTTGGGCAATTACGTGAAGCGTTGTTGTGTAGTTATGAAAAGCGTAGTTGTGCAGTTACATGAAGCGTAGTTGTGCAGTTACGTGAAGCGTTGCTGTGCAGTTACATGTATAGTTATTATTTGCAGCTAATTGCAGGACCCACAGTGAGAACGGAGTGAAAAAGAGTAAAATGAAAAGGATGCAGAGAACATGAGGTGAACTGCATGTTATAGCGAAGAGACAGGACGTCTTGATGTGAACTGGGGTGAGGTGCCTAAGTTGCACTAAAGGAAAACATTAAAACAAGAAGATGGTGATGAACAAGAAGGAGGAGAAGAAGAAGAAGAAGAAGAAGAAGAAGAAGAAGAAGAAGAAGAAGAAGAAGAAGAAGAAGAAGAAGAAGAAGAAGAAGAAGAAGAAGAAGAAGAAGAAGAAGAAGAAGAAGAAGAAGAAGAAGAAGAAGAAGAAGAAGAAGAAGAAGAAGAAAAGAAGAAGAAGAAAGAAGAAGAAGAAGAAGAAGAAGAAGAAGAAGAAGAAGAAGAAGAAGAAGGAGGAGGAGGAGAAGAAGAAGAAGCAGAAGAAAAGAAGAAGAAGAAGAAGAAGAAGAAGAAGAAGAAGAAGAAGAATAAGAAGAAGAAGAAGAAGAAGAAGAAGAAGAAGAAGAAGAAGAAGAAGAAGAAGAAGAAGAAGAAGAAGAAGGAGGAGGAGGAGGAGGAGAAGAAGCAGAAGAAAAAGAAGAAGAAGAAGAAGAAGAAGAAGAAGAAGAAGAAGAAGAAGAAGAAGAAGAAGAAGAACAACAACAACAACAACAACAACAACAACAACAACAACAACAACAACAACAACAACAACAACAACAACAACAACAACAACAACGAGAGGAAGTAGAAAAAGGAGAGAAAGAAGAAGAAGAATATCTACAAGACATGAAACTTTCCAGTTACTTACATGAAATATTAAAATTCCAGGGATTTACACGAAGTGTATAAATCCCAGTTACACGAAGTGTTAAAATTTTAATTACTTTCATGAAGTGTTAAAATTCATATTACTCTCACGTAGTGTTAACATTCACGGTATAACACATAGTGTAAGCATACAATGACTACACCTTGTTATCACATGAAGGTTTCTAATTTTAACAGTTGTTGCAGACGCAATTACAGTGTGGCGCTGATGTTATTTTTTGCCACAATTTAACATGAAGTATTTCATCATGTCAGGTGTCACCAGCATCTGTTTCACATAAACTTTACCAACAATTAATTTGAACATGTTGAATTCATTTGTTGACCCCTTTTTTCAAAACAAATAGCATCAATTGAGGGCGCTGAAAACAGGAACATTACTAAAAATTACAGTAATCTAATATCAGGAATACGGCTCTGTGGCTAAGTCGATGCGAACGCTTCGTAATGCCGGGATGCCGGGTTCGATCGCAACTGCGGGCATGCGTCTTTCCTTGGTTTCGACAGTGGTATCAAGAAAGCCGACCGTCCAAAAAGCAATGGCAAACTACTGGACGTAAGTTTGCCTAGAAAAACCACACAACAGCCAGGGACTGTTGGGGTTGGTTCTGCAACGTCCTGTAAAGGATACGCAACTAACCAGTATCAGGATGTGAGTCGTGGAATATCTTACAGTCCTTAAGAAAGAGCATAAAGGCTTTTGAGCTGAAATGCTATAAACAGATTCTCAGAATATTTCCGACAGAGAAGAGGAGAAATAATGACATCTTGAAAGATCTGACATTCAAGAAAATTGGCTAATAAACAGCATTCTGTCTGGGAAGCTGAAATGTGACGGATTGGGGAAAATAATAGCAGAAGGCATAGTACCAGGAAGGAGGGGCAGGGGCCGACCAACACGAAGATGGGCACTGGATATAAGGGACTCCTTAAGTATAAAAGTACATGTGGCGAGGGAGCTGGCCAGAGACCGCGTTTATTTTAGGCATACTGTGATGAGAGCGACGTTCTGCAAGGGACCTGCTACATGATGATTAGTAGCAGGAGGGTTAACCCTGTCACCAAATGCTTTGCAGAAGTCGGATGTGTCGACCGAAAGGCGCAAATATCTCATCCATGCTGTAAAAGGACACAACACGATTACAGCTTCGGAAGAAGGTGAAGAAATAAGTAGTATAGTAATACTACTTCTTCTAATACTGGAATATTATGGCTTACAGATTAGTGATTTCGTTTCACAATACAGTTCTCGTCGTTTACCGTTTTGCGATTCCTGCGGTAGGCGGTTTCGAAAATAGACCGTTCCCCTGGCTTTCAATCATTTGTATGAGAGTCGCACCGTAAAAATAAAGTGGAAGTGTCAGATGTAATATTTTCAGCGTTAGCCGTGGACCTATTGCAACCAAACTTCAATGTGCGAGAGCCCCATTTGTTTTACAACAGTAAAACTAATAATGACTGCATAAACGGCTACTGGAGATTCTGTGATGTAGCAAATGATGCTCTGACTGCTTCAACAACTACTGGAGCTCCCTGATGTAGGAAATGATGCTCTGACTGCATCAACAACTACTGGAGACTCTGTGATGTAGCAAATGATGCTCTGACTGCATCAATAACTACTGGAGACTGTGATGTAGCAAGTGATGCTCTGACTGCATCAATAACTACTGGAGACTCTGTGATGTAGCAAATGATGCTCTGACTGCATCAACAACTACTGGAGACTCTGTGATG